TAATTTTATAGTTTTATTGGACCAATTTCCCCATGTGAAAAGCAATAAATTACAGTGAGGGCCCTTTAATTGTTTCTTGTAGAGTTAATGTTCCATATCAACTAATGTGTTATTTTACTAAAGTTTTGTTATGCAAAGCCGAGAAGTATCTAATTTTTACATTTGAGTGTCTTTGTTTAAAGATATATAAAAGCAAGATACATAAAAACAAGGATTTATAATACTTACTCTGTAATCAATCGTATTTACATTTGAGTTAAAAAGTAGATGTTCTTCCATGAACCTCCTTAAGTCTCACAAATTTGGGTGTCCCAAAAAGGATTTGTGTAGCTTTCAAGTATGTTTTAGGACACAAAAAAGTACTAGATTTAAATGTTCCAAAACTACTGCAATTTATCTAGCTTTCTAAGTAATTCATAAATAGGTTTAAAAAATTCCTCCAGATATTTGGAGTGGGAAAAGATGTTTTTATACAAAGGAACTATGATGTACGGTTATTCTATGGGTTGCCAAAATCAAATAACTGTAAACAGCCTTATACAGAGGAACTACTATTCTTTCTCTTTGTTATAAACATGTCCATTAGCAAACAAAGAAAGTGGTTTCTCTGATGGATTTGACAAATTTATTGATGTCTCACCAAATTAAAAAGGTAGCAGGCTCAGATTTTAGATTTTAATTATGTAAAGTTTATGTTTCTAATTGGTTTGAAACTGTATAGGCTTATTATTTTAGTTATTGATTTCTGAAGCTGAGAAGCTCAGACATATTACATGATAGATTAAAAACTTTAAATAATATAAAAATTTGAATTATAAACTGTTTTCATGTCAAGTTTATTGTTGAATTTTATTGTAACACTATACAAGGTTGTGATCTGCACAAAAGAACTAGTTCCATATGCAAAGGGTTAAGAAGATAAAAGATAAAAGTGGACCCAGATTGTGTGCAACAAACTAACAGATGACCCTCCCTATTAAAAACAGTTTGAACTCAAATTCATGAGAATGAAAATGATGAGATATAACTCAGATATAACAAGAACTTATACTGCCCTATGAAAAATAATGTTTAAGTATAAGAGACAGTGGCTATAATTTTTGCAATTTTCCAAGGAGTCTAAATAATTCCAGCATTGATGGCAGTGCATCACTCAATGAAATCAATAACTTTGTACATGGCAATGCACAAAAATGTTGTGAATCTTTATAGGTTTTCTCAGTATTTTACTATAATTTCCGATGTTGAAAGAGTCAACCCATTTTGGAAATTTAATGACTTACAAATAGAGCTTTGTGATCAACTCGATTAATCAATTACTTATGAGAATTGATTACATCAGGCTCATGTAAAGTAATTGGTTAATCCAAATTACAATTAAATTCACTGATATCACAAAAATAATCAACTAATTGAAATTCCGTTGTTCATCCTTACTTTCTTAGGAAACTATACATTGATGTAAATAATTTATAATCTACCATATACGATGGTATTCAACCCATTGACTGCTGATTTGCCATATAGGACATAGTCTGCATCTGGCAGTTGAATGTGAGTGTGCTGTATACAGTGTATGGTTCACAAAAATTCTGTGCACGTAATGTGAGAAACGAGACATAGATCATTACATTTTCAAGAAATGATAGTTTCTTAACATATTTAAACCTATGCTTTGAGATGGGCAGAAAAATTCCAAAAGAATCTGTAAATGTTGTTTACAGACTCCTTGGACCGGAGCAGAGATGGAAGTTTGAACACTTTTTAAATTATTCTTTGTAAATTACACTAAATATATATAACAAATGACAAAATATCAATTGTAAAATATTTTTGAGTTAACAATTTTTGAAATAGAATCAAATTATTATCATTATTTAAATTTTGAAATTTGATATGCTGGTGTGGATTTGACACCTGAAAGATAGTTTGCAGTGGAGATATGGTTAAAAGTAATTTAAAATTGTTAATTAATATATGTCTGTGAATACTCCTTTTTGGTGTATGTTTTTTTTATTTCAAATGGAATGATAAGTTAAGAAAATGTAAGTTACACCATTCTCTCATTTTTTAATACATACATAGTAGAGAGCAGATGGATGTGGGAGTAGTTTCATTTCATAGAAGAGCAACTGAATCAGACACAGAGCTTTGTATATTGACATTGTTTGTTTTTGGTTTGTCTTACAGATAACTTTAATCTGCTGAAATGTATGGCAATCAAAATATAGCAATGAAACATATATTTTGTAGTTTATTACTGATATGTATGAAATTATGAATACTACATGTTAATCTAACAGTTACTCTGACTTACCTAATAATACACACACACGTATATGATTAATGACTGTTATATGTTTAAGTAATTAATATAATTCCTTGACCACATTTGATATATTTGTTTTTACCAGCCAATCCTGATCCAGTGGCAAAAATACTTGGAGATGCTTTTGCTACAGTAGAAAAGGCAGAAGATAAGGGATTATTACGATATGTTGACATGGTCATAAAAGTTAGTATTTTTATTTTATATTTCTATGTAGAACTACAAACATGCCAATGGATTGAAATGAATAATATATAGAAAATTGTTTCTTTCTACTTTTCTTAGAAATTAACAATATTGGCTTATACCAAGTACTGCTCAGTTTTCTCTGTACTTCATTTTTTATCATAATATAGTAGCATTTAATCATTTGAAATACATACAGTTTTATTTTATATCTTATTTAAAAAAAAAGGTTCACAAGATTTAGCTAGGATCATCAGGCAGGTATATTTGAATAGCAGAACGAAACCATTATGTGTTCTAGTGTCAACAGTGATATAAATAGAAGAAGAAAAAATCCAAGGAACTCTTCATTAAAAATAAAACTCTATCACTAACCAGTATTCAGGTGTACAATTATAATTATTTTAATTGTTTCCAGTTTAAAATTGTGTTTGACTTGCTTTTGTTTTATTGCTTAGTAATGTAGTATTGATACTGCAACAAATAGTAGTTTTGTTTAGCTATTCAAAGATATTCACTAAGCAAAATGTAGTTTTTTAAAAATAGAACAAAAAATAACTTACTAAAAACATAATTACATGTTTTATTTGTAAATAAAATCAACTTTAATCTTCAATTTGTTTGTTCTCAGATTGCCAAGTGGCTCACAAACTTATTGATAAAAAAAAAACTTAATCATTTATTGAACATTTATAACAAGTTATGGTAACTCATTACTGTAATTCAGTGTTTTCAAAATCAACTTGGTACCAGGTAGTTTTTATGCATCTGTTATCATTTTAGGTACAAATTAATAATTTCCAAAGCAAATTCTCAAAATTTCTTTTCAAATTTCCTTGTAAAATGTCTTTTAATTATTCAGACTAAATGAGAGAACTAACAGTTTTTATAATACTTCTGATATTGGGTTTATATGAGTGCTTATAATTCCTGCAGAGTACACTATGCATTATTTTGATGGTGTTTACAAATATGGCAAAGGGAAAAAACATGTTTTTTTTTACTTTTTTTCAGCCTTCAACACAAAAAAATATAAATATTTATGATTACAAAGAATATTAATTACATTTTGATTGCATTTGTTACTAACTAATTTTAATCAAGTTTTATGATCAGTTGATGTTGTTAGGGTTTTTATCATATCCACAATTTTTAGAAGTATACTGAGCCTCCAGATGAACTTGTCTAATTTACCCATTTTACTGTGGTCTCATATCTTCAATAATACTTTTGTGGTATAGAATTGATGTAAAAATAATGTTTCTGTGACATTTAATTTGACCTTTTTTTACAATACGATTATATAGCCTGCAGAAATATCATGAATATTTGAGGGATTTAATTACATATGTACATAGTTCTGTATAAAAAATAATTACTAAATATTAAATTGATTTATGTTTAGTAAAATTAAATAGCATGGAGCTTCCTATTTATTATGAATGTGATGGCCCACATTTTAGAACTTTAACACATTCGTGGTGTGAATGATTTCTCTAATTATGCAATAGGAACGTTAAGCCTCATTGTTAGCTCTGTTTTAGATACTGCTAGTTTTATGGTTTTGTTATGTTTTATGACAGAATGATTGCATCAACAGTTTTTTCTTGAGTTCATCACCGGTGGTATATGACGTCCTGTCTTTACCCATTTAAGCTTTAAATAAAGTGATTTAATCAAGCAAATTTGTTTTATTTCAGTTGTCCTTTCAACATGGCTTCCGTGCTCCACCAGTGGTACATGATGGAAGGCATGGCATTATTACAGCCATCCGTACAAAATATATGCTTTCATATAGGACTTTGGAGATGTGAGGTGCAGTTATATCTTATGGGTGTTGTGTACCATGGGTGGCTCACAACATCCAACAGAAAACATGCAAATGTACTACCAGTGGTGCACGATGTTGTGAACATTTTAATTAAAGTATTTAGTGATGATTGTACTGCCAGAAATGAGTTTATTTTTCAAAACACATTTAAAAGTATTCATAGAGCAAAGGGCATTTATTTTTGGATGGCTTGGGCCCATATTCCATATTAACATATCCAGTGGTTTTCCTTTTATTTTGGCTCATTACCCACATTGGATTTAGGTATGAATAAGTGGGTGTAAAGTCATTTGATGCTTCTTCTGCTAGTGTATTCCATAATAATTTCTCTGTAAAGCTCTTTTTTCTTGTTGTAATCTTCACTTCAATTTATTATCTGTGGCAAGTGATATTAACATGCAAATTCAGTGGAGATTGGGCAATTACCAACTAGAAATGTGGTTTTCTAATACTTTTCCCATTGCAATGTATAGTCTAACTTATCAAAAAGTAACAATTTATTGACTTACATTTTAAGTATTAACTAAAACCTGAAATAATGAATATAAGTTAATCAAAAGGCATAAAGTATTTAGATTTGTTCTTGCTTTGTTTCATTTATTATCCTCTGCCCTCTAAAATTGTAATGTTTCATGATGGATTATCAGGAAGAAGCTGACAGAAAATTGAAGCTGATGGAAACTGAAAAGGAAGAAAAGAAAAGCCCTCAAGGAAACTTAGTGTCAGCAGGTCTAAATTCTGCTAGCCTCAGGCTTTTCATGTTGTTGCAGCAGCTCGACATAACCTTGATGAAAGAGACAGTGAAACAGATGGCAGGGTGAGCCTGCCTGTGGTTTTAGTTCCTTTAGCACTTATATGTACATTGCCATCTAAGTAGAATATACATAGGTGGATTATATTTAATATTCAGTGTAAAAGTATATATACAATGAGTGGTCACAAGTAAATAGACACCTAACTTTTCATCACTTAACTGATTTATGCTAACTAATTTGTGTTCACAGAGCACTATATAAATGAAAATGGGCCGTACACTAATTATCTTGTGCTACAAAATGCCTAGAACTCAAGGTTCTCTCGAATTATCAGATTTTGTTAGAGGAAGGATAGTTGGTCAAGCAGATGGTGGAATAAGTCAGCGGCAAATTTTGCAGAATTTGGGAATCCCACTTTCGACAGTCAACAGAATCATCGTGCAGTTCATGAAACACGGCAAGGAAACAAATGAGCAGCATCTGGATTGTCCTGGTCCATTGGAGAGGACAAAAAAGGGATGTCAAGAGGAGCATCGAAAT